GCTCTTGCCACAAACCAGCAGTTGCATAATACGATTGGAGCATCATTTCTAAATAGCTTCGTCAAATTCCCAGTAGTTACTGAGATATGAACACCGACACATGTGTTCATATATTTTTGTTGTGGAGTATAGGAAGAGTCCTGCCGCACTGCGGTATTGGAAGTTTTATAAGTATCTAATTATAGTAAAAAGGGTTAAAGTCATATCCCCTAAATTCTGAATATGGCTACACTTTTATCTGTATTTATAGTTAAAACGTTTAAATTTGTAGTTAAAATGCTTAAAAGTTAACAATTTTACACCAATCAACAATCTTCATTATTTCCTTTTTAATCAATCACAAAGCGCAATTCCTCTGGCCACAGAACCAAGAAGTGCCGAGCCATTTCACGCCTCTCGTTTCTCCGAATATGAAGCTGCTCTTGCTGACGGCGCGTCGTGTGGCGCGTGCTGCGGCCCCCGCGGCAGCAACTGCGTTGCGTCCGTCGATCGCTCGTCCGCTACAAAACGCCGTGTCGGCGTCAGGCGCTCGCTTCATGAGCAACAGAACTGGCGACAAGAAGAACAGTGATGCTTCCAAGCTTTTCGCGTCTAAGGACAGTGACAGCGACAGTGGCTCAGACTCAGATAGCGACTCGGACAGTGATTCAGATGACGAACAGGTGGAGGAGGTGGAAGAGCTGCTGCCTATCGACGAGGAGGGCATCTCCAACGCCGAGAGACGGCGCCGTCTTGACGCTTTTTTGGCGCACAACGCCGACTACTTCGACGAGGAGCGCTGGGGCGCACAGGACGGCGAAAAATGGTTCGGCTTCGACGGTGACATGGACGCTGTGACCGAAGAGGGCGTCCCAACGTGGTTGCAGTCTGTGCGTAACATGGTGAGTGTCGAGGAGGAGCGCGCGATCCGTGCCAAGGCGGCCCGTATCGCCTTCCACGAAGCCAAGAACAAGGTTGTGCGTGTGCGGAAGCTCGACGAAAAGGGTCGCGCCTACGGCACTGGCCGCCGCAAAACCAGCACGGCCCGTGTATGGGTCAAGCCGGCCGCGGAGCCCTTCACGGGCCGCATTCAGGTGAACAAGAAGGACCTGGTCGACTATTTTGTGCGTGATACGCATCGTGAGGACGTGCTCAAGCCTTTCTCTGTGGTGGACAAGATCGGCGGATTCGACGTGTATTGCACGGTCAAGGGAGGAGGCATGACTGGCCAGTCCGGCGCCGTGCGTCACGGTATCGCCCGCGCGCTGCAGAACTTCGACCCGGAGATGCGTTCGGCCCTCAAGAAGGCGGGACTGCTCACGCGTGACCCGCGTATGGTCGAGAGAAAGAAGGCCGGTCAGGCTAAGGCCCGTAAGAAATTCCAGTGGGTCAAGAGATAGATGCAAAGGCGACAGGAGAGCGGGTTGCTGTCAGACAAGAAACAGACTGCAAGGCGAGAAGGAGACCAGGCGTTCGTGTACGTTCAGCCGTGTATCTGCCCAACCCAAAGCATTCGTTTGTCACTTGTTTTTTTTCCTTTAATTGCCATACATATCTGAAGTAGAGCTCATCCTGCTCTTGTGTTTCTTACGATGTGATGCGCGCTACAGCGCCATAGACGCCTCGAGCTTCCGCAGAGCTTCGAGCTCATCTTCGTCCGCATTGCCCACCACATTGATGTTGGACTCGACAGCGTGTGTAGGCACGTCTGGCAAGTTGTACTGTGCCATCGCAGCAGGTGGCGCCGACGGGGCAGTGGCCGCTGCCGCAGCGGCTGCAACTGCAGCGGTCGCGGGCGGCGCTATGGCTGCTTCTGCTGGCGTGGTGGCCACAGGCTCCAGGGTCTTCTCCTCGAGTTCGAGCTCTTCCATCTCGCGCAGCTCGTCCTCGAGCTCGTCGTCGTCGTACAGCTGCGAGCCAAGCGGCTGTGAGATGGCGCGTCCGATCTCGTCTGCTGTAGCCATCTCCTCCTGGATATCGTCCATGATATTGTCCACCTTGTCCACGTTCATCTGGCCGTGGATCGCCTTCATCTGCTCTGCACCCGACCGCAGCGCCGTAAACGTCTCCATGTTGACGTGTGCGCTCTCAAGCGTCATGACCTGCGTCTCTAGTGTCATACGCGCGCCCTGCAACTTCTCTACCTCGGCCTCGTACATTTTCTTGCGCTTGAGTGCGAAGATGGCGCCGCGTTTGTCCTTGGCCGCGCTCTTCTGCTTGGCCTCCTGCAGCTGCAGCGCGATCTTCTTGACGAT